TCACGTGGAAATCCATCCATTTAGGTAATTTTGTGCTTGCTTCCACTGTTTTTTTGATTCAGAATTAGTCTGTTCCTCTCTACTACCATCAGACCTAGCTGCCCACAGAGGAGCCTGGAAAAATATTTTGCATCTCCTTTTTATATTACAAAAAAGATACTTTTCTTCCCAGAGACACGAGGCACTATCCAACATTTAGCATTCTGAATAGGTCAAGTACTTGTTCAAACATTCAGTACTGCTGTCATTATTCTTCCCTGTGGAAGTCCACATCTGCAATACACCAAATAAGTAACTGAGCCATGATCAAATCAATGGATCTGTGAGAACAAAACCTGAGCAGTATGGTCCTGCCGTTCTTAAGAAGGCATTTGCAGAAGTACATTATATATGGTAACAAACTATGTCTCTTTTCTATTTCCTCTTTTTTTTTCTTTTTTTTTTTTTTTTTTTTTTGGGGGGGGGTATAATACCTCTAGAAAGATACCGTAAAATGAGGTCTATGCTTTGTGACCAAGGTCTCTTGCCTTTCTAAACATGTAGGTGCTCACAAACTTTAGACATGAAGAAGCCATTTTATCTGTTCTGCTGGGTTACATCTAATTTACTGGGACAGCTGGGAACACACACAGGCCAAATTAATTTTCCTGGCTTCTGCAGCAACCCACACCTGGCCACCATCTTCTCCCAGCTCCTTGGGTTACGGACATGCTCTGGTTACAGGACAAGCGAGAGTCCCCAGACAACACAATAGCTGGAAGCATCCTGCCACGACAATTTGCAGCTCATGGCCCCCTCCCTGCGTGCCCTGAATTACTTCTGGAAATGTCAGATGCTGAGAGTGCGGAAGCCCATCTGACCAACCCTACAGCAAACCTGGAGCACACAGCGAAATAACTGCAGATCCATGGATTAGCGAAGAACAATAAGCCAAACCTTTGTGGGAATCACTGGACCTTCCACATCCCCCCTAGATGTTCATATTGCCCACGGGTCCTGCCATGTGACAGGAGAAAGACCACATGAGGTTCTGCTCTCGTATTCACAAAACCTGAGTAACTCAGTCAGCTAAAACGATCTGACTCCCCTGTTGTGTACGAGTTCAGGTTATAAAGCAATTTCTATTCAGCTCTAATTGCACAGACTCCACAGTGGTATTTTTCATGTTGTTCCTAATCAAAATGAACTCATTGGTTTTACTGTGTTCTTCACTTTGTTTTGGTTTTCAAACATGAGGAAAATATTTTCAACACTTTTGTGTTTCACAAATGGAAAACATATCCCTTCCTCCACTCTTAAGGCATTTGAAGCACCCCTTTTCTTGTCAAAACTAGACACAGCTGACTGCTGAAACTTGAAATGGAGCATAAAAATATTTTTCCACAAGGACAAGAGCCTCCACTTGGCAAGAAAAACAGCAAACTGTTCTCAAAAGTGATGAGTTTTGGAAAACCTACAGTCTGCACATACGAGAGAAGAAAATCTCGTTCCTGTGATAACCATGCCTACCAGCAGAACTGGACAGGAATGTAGGTCTGGGACGGGCAACTTTTCCATTTGTAGATGAGTTGGGTTTGGAGGCTGGCCATGGTGTCCCTCCTATTTAACTTAAGTTGCTTATTCTCTCATTACAAAGCCCATTCTTCCACAGAACCAACTAAGAAGGTATGGTCTTTGTTGATGCTTTGGTATCTGCTCTTTTCACAGAGCCCAACCTGGAGAAAATCAAGGAAAGCATTTGCCTGTCCCACATTAATCCACCTCTCAAGTCTATGATCAGAAGGTTTCTTTTTACAAGTCTGAGAAAAGACACAAAAGACACTGACATGCTTCTGCTTCCGCAGCAACCAGTCCTGGCCTGTGCAAGGAAGTTGCAGTTTAATTAAACCAGTTCAAAAACCGATGCTGTTGAATTAATGCTAAGTCTGTGGGAGGATAGATGTTATTTTGCTGAAGAGTGCTTTCTACTGTTTTAACTGAAGTGGTAAGGAACAGATTTAAGCTAAATCAATATACAACATACTTCAATTGATATGTGTCCAAAAAAGGCATTTGCATCAACATAATGAAACAGCACAAGATTTTCATGTAGGCAAGGCTCAGAAGAAAATGTAGCCATATCATACTTTGGGAATACTGTGAGCATGCCTTGTTTTGCCCTTGTCTGCTGTCAACACCTCCTCCACTGCCTCCAGGGGTCTGCTCCCTGCTGCCTGACAGTTTTATTAACTATCTCTTCCTGTCTTATTTACCCTCAGGTACCCACTTACTGGCAAGTTACACTTCTCTCTATCACCAAACCACCCCATTTGATGTAACTCTCAAAACTGCTTCCTGCAGTTCTGCTAAGTTAAAAGGTTCCTCTTCAGGGCAGCTTCAAGCTGAGGTTCCACAGACTTTCCCCTGTTTCCTCTATTTGTCACTGTAATAGTTACTACAGCTTCAGAGCCAGACTGGCTGGGGTGTCCTCAGAAAGCAAAATACATTGCTTCAGGCTTCTTGTGTGTCCAATGCTGTGGGAATGTCAGGATGTGACTACTGCTTTAGGGAAGTCCATCTCTCTCCAGAGGGTGACACACAGTGACTGAGCACAAATATAAAAAAGGCCATAAACCATTTTTAGCAGCTCTGCTTTCTTAGCCTGGCATGATATCCCAGCGCCTGTTCCATCAGCTTGAGCCTACTGGTTTACACTGCAAAGTGGGGAAAGTGCTTGGAGAAGGTCAGTTCTAACTCTTCTTGCTGTTCTTGGTTCCTTCCCCCAGATGCCAGCATGCTCAGGCCAAGGCTGGGATGCAGACCCTGAGGAATTTTGTCTCCCCCATTGCGCCCTAGCCACCACCACGGCTGCATCGTGAGCTGCGGGGAGTGGGGAACAAGAGGGGACAGCTGGTGATGAGGCACTGGGAAACCTACACAGTGTTGAAATCGTGACATCCAGCCCTTCTGAGGACATCAGGGCTAATATACAAAATAGTTAAGACAGAGTTTGGTATTTGACTGGCTGAACAAAGAGAGCTGTCACTGTTGGCAGACATTTTAACAAAAGGCTTGCTCCGATGCTGTTGAATCAATGGCAAATCTCCCAATGGAAGTAGCCTCTGGCCGCAAATGTGTAGTTAACAACCCAAGTCTGTACAGCACATACAGCTTCCCTACGAGCTGTAGACAGCCCACAATCCCCACTGATTCCTGCAGTCAAAAACAAGCTGGAGGTGCTGAACACATTAGAGTGCTACCGGGCGTAGTAAGCTCAACCATTCTAAATTTTAGACAGTCTTTCTTTTTCCCCTGGGACATACAACATATTGTAAGTAAGTGCCCGGTTAACAGAAGGGAGAAAACAGACTTGATTTCTCCCCCCACGCATAAAAATGCTTAAAAGAGCAAGTTTTGGAACGCCTTTGAGAGAGAGCGGTGAGTTGAAGCAGGAAAAGCAGTCTCATACATTTAGTGCACAGGACAGCAGGGAAAAGGAAATTATTTTCTGTGCCTTTAATTTAAGATTCAGTCAATTTAGAAAGTCGGTACATTAGTAATAATAGCTGATTTCCTCTTCAAAACTCAGATTGTATCTTTTGAGCCCCCACCAGAAAATTTTCATGCCTATTTATTTATTACAAATGTAAGCCACGTTCATATCCTTTTTAGGAAAAGAGACGGAGGAAGAAAGATTTCCACCTTCGCATTATTACAAAATCTAAGGAATGCAATATGCAATTCAATCTGATGAGAGATTATTGAAGAAATTCAAAAGCAGCAGTCACACACAAGTTTAACTCTGCCCCCGTGTGTGCAAACATTAAAATACACCCTCCCATCCACTATCTGGATCCCGCTCTATTTTTGTGCAAAAGATTGTATTAGTTTGTGACACTAATTATCAATGACAACACGAGATCCACGATGACCACGTAGCTACAGGACACCTTTTCTCTTCTACACTTACATTTCTCTCTCTGCATTATGAAACTCTCCTTTATGAATGCATTGGCCACTAAAAAACAAGCTATAGAGATATGCCCGTCTCCTGCACTAATAAAACAAGGAGAAGTAAAAGTGCAAAGGAAAACCAGGTAACTCTGGAATTTTACCAAAGGGATGGTCCTGTTAAGATCAGGAAAAAAAATTTACTTAATTTTACTTTTCACCTTTGCCACGCATGCCCTGTGTGAACTTCCCTGTTCTCCCCTGTGCCCCACTTCCCAGCCTGTGAAGCATAGACACCGTCACCTTTCTGTGTGGGAGTGAAAAGGAACTACTTCTTCCTCTGTAAACTCACACCGAGGTTTCTCTAGCCGTTTCACTTCATCAGCACGCAGGGTGACAAGGGTCTGTCAAGGGGAGACCAGCCCAGGCCACCATCACTGCCATGGGGACACGCTGCCCCAGCCAAAAGGGCTCAGCCCTCCCATGGTCCGTGGCCCACAACCCGCAGCCACGCAGCCAGCAGCGAGGGAGCAGCTCCATGCGCTGAGAGCGAGACACCTCTGTCTCATGCACTGCCCCCGGGAATCCTGTTTATTCACTCATTTCGGGACACCCCCCTGGCTTTACCCATGACAAATTATGGGCCAAAGCACCACTGAATGAAAACAGGCCGGAAACTCCATCTGCTAACCAATGGGGTGAACTGCAGCAGCGTGTCGCAACACCCCGGCGCGTATCACAAGCCAGATATGCACAAACAACCCCTGGCACGGGGACGGGGGCTGCAGGAGCTGAACCCTGCACAAACATGAACCGGATCTGGGCACAGCTGCCCTCGGGCCTTATCTTTTGATAAGGAACTTCACCAGGAGGAAAGGTCCGTAGGGCGCACCACTGCATGCCCCAGGAGGGTGATTACGTCCACGATTTTTAATTGATTTCGGCTTTCACATTAACCTGTGTGAGCTGAGTCTACAGAGAAAAAGCCGCAGCCTTGTCTGCCGGATACAGGAGGACCCAGAGCACCAACGCCGCTCCACCATCTTCCCCTGCCCTGTCCAGCGACCAGCCACTATTAAACAAGCCAGGCAAGAGGCAGCTGCAGTGGTGCTGCCCAGACGGTGTGGAGGGCCATGGCAAGCTACGTGCAGCTGAGCACCACAGCCAAGATGCCCCTCGTGGGGCTGGGCACCTGGAAGGTAACAGCTTCAGAGAAAAACACCAGTATTGCAGAGCTTCTGGGCATAAAACTCTGTTCCCCCTGGTCCAGCTCTGGAGAACTGTCCTGGTGTCTGGGGCTCTGCTCTCCCTGGATGTTGGACTGAGCCTGTGTGGGAGTGGGGCTATGGAGAAATGGCTGGATACTGGCTTCAAGCACTGGAGCCCATGTTTATGAATGCAAGAAATACTGATCTTGTAAAGAAAAAAAATAGCAACCTGGGGCAGAGGCAGATTGCTTTCAGTAAGGTGGTTTTCCTATTTTTATTTTGCTAGGATACAGGTATTTAACATGCACTGATTTGAGATTCTTAAGATTTATGCATTATTTTCAGTCCCCAACTGGGCAAGTGACAGCTGCAGTGATGGCTGCCATCGACGCTGGGTACCGCCACTTTGACTGTGCCTATGTGTACCAGAATGAAAATGAAGTTGGGGATGGGATCCAGCAGAAAATCAAGGAAGGCATTGTGAAACGAGAAGACCTCTTCATTGTCAGCAAGGTAAGGATCTGATCATCTTCAGTCCTGAGGCAGGGGTGGGAGGATGCTTTGCCTATAGTATTTTCATAGCTTAAGTACTGGAGACAAGCTTTATGCTGTAGAATAAAGCAATTCATAACATCATTCAAGTCACTCCTGATACAAGCTTACTGCTTCACCCCATTCTGTATGGAGAGGTAGGACGGATACACTGTGCCTGCACCCTGCTGTGGTCTGGCATTCTGCTGAGGAGAACCAGAAGTGCGCAGGGAAGGATGAGGAGAGGCCATCTGCTGACAAATTGGTGCAGAAGAAGGGAAGCAGAAAAAGGCAGTGGGCCAGGTAGCACCAACCAAGGTAGAACTTCACTGACTTCTAAAGCACAGCAGAGGAGATGAGCCTGGCAGTTGCTGACACTTGCTCCAGCAGCCAGGCTTGCAGCCCTGCCAAAGGGGTGTCTCTGCTGTGTGAGGAAGATGAGGTTCTGGGCACCTTGGGACAGTGGAATCTGCTCAGCGCATGTCCCAGGGAAGGTGTGGTTGGTGGGTTCTCTTTCTCTTCCTTACTAAAGAAAACAGGATATTTAGCTGGATTCTCAAGTTCCTTTTTAAGTTGGTAAAGGTTGGTGCCAACCAATTCTTTGTGGCTTGTCTTACATTTTGTTGGCTTTGCCTGCTAAATTTTTTACGGGAAACGTAAACAAGGTCAAATCTGACAGAAAGCTTCCTTGAACTAAGCCATCCTCTTCTACACAAATCTGACATTGCAATAGGAGTGTTTACTACAGATCTGTCTGACTGCGTGTGCTGCCACTGCACATACTGAATTCAGTGTCACAGGCCAGTCCCACCACAGAGCAAGCCCCATCTCAAGAGCACTAGGATGACCTACTTCCACATTCCACCTTTCAAAGAAGATGGAGCATTTGTGTCCTGTGCAGGAGAGCACCTGAGAGCTTTAACCTAGGAAATCATGGTGTGCCTTGGCTTTTTGTCTCTAGCTGTGGTGCACATTTTATGAAAAGCCTCTGGTGAAGGGAGCCTGCCAGAAGACTCTTGCTGACCTGAAACTGGATTACCTGGACCTCTACCTCATGCACTGGCCTCTTGGGTTCAAGGTACAGTAACAGCAATGCCCTGAGCTTTCCCTCCTGGGAGACCTCCTCAAAACTGCCAGTAACGCTTGCAGCACTACTGCTGCTCCAGTCTAGAAAAAGCATGTGTCTGATGTGTGTACCAGTGCTGCTCCAGTGCTGCTCATTCAGCTTCACTCTGGCCACGTGAGCCCAGCTCTTGATCTCTGCCCTGGAGACCGCTGCTCGCACAGCGTCCTCTGCCCTTTTGATACTGGAGATGCAGACCTAGCACTAAGGTCAGGCCTCCCAGCTGCAAGCAGAAGCTACATCATTTTCCCTTTCTCTTACAAATCCACAGCATGCTCATCTGAAAATTACCCCTTGTAGGAAGGAGAGCTGTACTTTGCTGCCTGACAGAAATTCTTTCCTCTGCATGTTACAGAATTGCAGAACAAAAGAAAATGCTTCTGTTTTCCATTTGTCTCTTTAATCACCTCGTACTTAATACAGTCCAGATTGAGCTGACCTTGCCTGTAGCAGCCTTAGTGTTGTTTCACAGAGCTTGGATTTCAACAGATGAGGCTTTTCAATACATAACTTTTGCAGACTACAGGTACTTCAAAGGATTTGTGTCACTTTGTGTCTATATATATACACACACACACATATACCCTTAGCCTTTCCTCTCTGCTACACCCAGATCAAAATCTCTATTCTACTTAATGCTTTTGAGCTGAACTTCATTTCATTTTCTCAATACTGTTTTAGTTAGCTTTATGTGGACAAAGCTGTCAAGTGAAAATGCATAATGTTGTGGCATCTAGAAAATTCCAATTATGCAAAACACTTCGGCCATGTTGTCTAGTCCCAGGCTGTTCTAATTTTCCTAATACAGCAACTTAAACAGTGAGCCTCCCCATAGGAAATCTGTCAGCAGTGCCTTTTTCAGCTGATGAACTCCAGTATATATGTGTATGTTCACAGGACCAAAGTCAATCCTCTATATACCTTTTTAAAAACAACTAAAGAAGCTATTTTTCCTACACGTGCATAACGGAACAATATATGAAGTGAACTCAAGTAAGACTCCAGGATATTGTTCTACGAGTAAATTGCTTTCCTGCATGCATTTTGTGGATCACTTCAATGGGTCCATCAGAAATACGTGTCTTTATAGTAGGTGGCAAAAATGCCACAGCCCTGCATGAACTAAGAACAAGAAATGCCTGAAGAATTAATTAAGTCATGATGAGAATTACTTGAGGGGATTTTTTCATGCTTTAGTTCCTTACATTCCTGTTTGGTTCTTTACATAGCTAGCATCCCAACCGAGATTATTTCAAGCACTTTCTCTCTCATTGACAGGCAGGAGATGAGCTGTTTCCCAAAGATGACAAAGGCATGTCTATACCCAGCAACACTGATATTCTACAGACCTGGGAGGTAAGTTCAGCCACAGCAGGAGACATGTCCTCTGTCCTCACCAGTCTCTTCCATGTTTTCATTACCTTCAGCCATCAAAGAACTCTTGTCTCATGCATGCAAAATTAGTTGGAAGTAACGTAAGACAGTACAAAGTAGCTTTTCATAATATGCATGCTTAGTCATGACCTAAGTGCCTTACTTGTCATTCCTGAGTGCCTTACTTGACTGCCTGACCCACAGTGAGCTGCACAATCACTTTCAGGGGAGCTGCAGACCAGATTGAGGTTAGAAACAGTTCATTGCCTGACCATAACAACTGTACAACTGTCTTCACCATAGTTCTCGCATCCTTCTTGAATTGCTCAAGTAAATTTTACAGAAATAAAAACATCTTAGATTGAGATCCTGCCTATAGCATGGGGCACAGCCCTCCAGTGCTTGCAAAATAGTGGGTTACTGAGTGTCATTGTTCTTTTCCTCCTGCAACTTTGGTGTGAATTTCCAAAAACGAAGGGAATGAGAATTTGGGCTTGGCTGAGATGGCACTAATGTACCAGTACCTGCTTTGCCTTCAGAGAATTTTGCAACTCTAAATAATTATTTTGTGCTGCTCATGATGGGAAACAAGCCACATCAGGAAGAACATCTTCTTCATGACCCATCTTGCATATCAGATGGTGATTTTCCTACTCTTTGTGTTAGGCCATGGAAGAGCTGGTGGATGCTGGGCTGGTAAAAGCCATTGGAATCTCAAACTTTAACCATGAGCAGATTGAAAGAATCCTAAACAAACCGGGACTGAAGTACAAGCCTGCAAATAACCAGGTAAGCTGCTAAGTGACTGCAGGTGAATAGTTTTCAGGGATTATAAAGATCTGATTACAGTTGAATGAGGAGATGGCAAAAGGGAGAATAAAATAGACACAGCATGTACTATAAATCACGTTTTGTGGATATTTGTGAGTACACAAGGCACTCGGATACTTCCTTTTTTGTCCCACCTTGCTGAACTACTGTTTATGAATGTTGGAGTATTTCCTTGGAAACATTGTTTCTGGAAGAATAAAGAACCCAGAGATTACCTTTGTGAAACCCCCCCACAAAAACCGTATAAGCACTTTGTATAAAAACAGGTGTCTTCAATACTAAGGATGCATATTATCACATAGGCCACTGGCAAATTAGGGGGAAAGGCAACCTCTAATTGGATTAGGAGATAATCCATGGAGCAGAATGATATTACAACAGTTCTGCCACTACCAGCCTCTATGCCTTTGTGTTGACAGATCGAATGTCATCCGTACCTCACCCAGGAAAAGCTTATCAACTATTGTCAATCCAAAGGGATTGCTGTGACAGCGTACTGTCCCCTTGGCTCTCCTGACAGGCCATGGTAAGATTGCTTTGCCCTTTGCAAGGGAGCTGGCATGGATTGTGCTTGTAACATTGAGGCTACAAATGCACTATTAATCATCCATCTAGATACAGATCTCCATTGCTAGGCTGGATGTTTCTATGGAAGTTTCTTACCACTGATCATCTTTCCTCTGTGTAGGGCTAAGCCAGAGGATCCTTCCCTTCTGGATGACCCCAAGATCAAAGAGATCGCAGCCAAGCACAACAAAACCCCAGCACAGGTAGGTAGGTGCCACACAGTGGGTACTCCTTCCTGTAACTCAGCCATTAAGGAGACTATGCCTGAAGAGAGAGTACAGCTTTTGACCGCGGTTCCT